ACCATGCCAAGTCCATACACAGCAAGTTCTACCTTGCCTCTGCTTTCTCTAGCAAGGAACTTTTTCATTTGGTTTCTGCCAATCAAAACAAAAGGGGGTGCTGGTGTGTTTAGTTAATTTATGAGGCCACGGGCTCCTGACTGTACTCATCTAGAGTTTGCCGAACAGACCAACATGCCTGTCTGTGATGAGGCCATTTTAGCAAAAAACAGATCAGAATAAGTCTTTCGCTGGCGTCTGCTGCCTGGGTCAGCCCAAGGTAGATTTAATGGGAAGAAAGTCAGGTTTGATTTTCTCATTTTATATTTGCCTTCTGCACTCCTTTTTCTCTATCTTAGCACTCCTTCCCTCCTCCTGGCCTTAATTCATCTAAGCCAACATTTATGGTACTTATTCAACATACATGGTCTTATTTACTTGGCGCTGTGCTAACCTCAAAATCAGTGGTCCAAATCCACCAGCTGCTCAGCGGGAGAAGGATGAGGCTGTCTGCTCCCATAAAGATTTAACATCTTGGAAGTCCTAGAGTAGGAAATGCCTTAGTGCCATGGGGTTTGGTATTATGGTTTAGGACTTGGGGGCAAAGGACCCTGGTGGGACAGTGACAAAAGCAGCTTTTGGCTGCTAACCAAAAGGTCGGTGGTTCAATCCCACCAGGTACTCTGTGGGAGAAAGATGTAGCAGTCTAGTTCTGAAAGATTTCAGCCTTGGAAACCCTATGGGGCAATGGTCAGTATGAGTGGGAATCCACTTGCTGGCATGTTGCCTCCTTGATGAAGAAATGTATTGGCGGGGGTGGGGATAGATCCACACTACTGTTGAGAAAGGGTGGCTGTGCCAGCTGATTTCAGAGAAAAAGCGATGAACCTGAAAAGTACATGCTTTCTCCCTCCATGACCACTATCTTTACATGTTTCCACATTGTTTTAGAAATGGAAAGATTCAGATTTCTCTGGTCTTCATTATTATAGTACCTGACAGAAATCAGCCCCGTAGGCATCATGGAATATGGAAGGCAGCGAGCGCTTGGCTGGCCATCCTGAGACTTGGCTCCAAGTCTCCTAGAAGAAGGAGATGTAGACAAGGTATGGGGAAAAGCCAATGTTCTAGGCTGACCACTGCAACTAACTTGTTGCGTGGCTCTGAGAAAAGGACTTAACCTTCTGGAGTCTCAGTGTTCTTACATGCCCAGCAAAAGAGTTCGTCTCATGAAAAGTATGAACGCAAAACAGATACTAAACAGAATTTTCAAAGGCTCCTGGTGGCTGGCTACTACGCATGCTCAGTCTTGACAGCTTACGTGTTTTCTGGGGACAATCCAGTGGGTCAGCAAATAACTTAACTGTGGCCTGCTGTGTTGGACAGAATAACAGCGTCACATTACTAAAGGGAACCATATGTGAGGTGAAATTCGATTGCCCGGCCTAGTTGGTCACGGGTCAGTCTCAGTAAAACCTATGCTTCCCGATCTCAGTGGTACAGCTCAGCACTGATTATGTTTTTCCATTCTGTCTTGTCAATTTGCCTCACTGTTGGCATAGAAGAAACGGCTCGTTCCTCCCTCAAAGTCATTGCCAGGGTAGTCTGGCTCTGCTGCTCAGACATATCCCATTCCATCTGTTCCTCCCAGAAACAGAGGGCTACCCAGCTTCCGATCCAGACAATGAAACAGCACGCTGAAATGACACAACTTGCAAGCTGTAGGTCTTGTAAAGTACTCGGCATGCTACATTGCATCTCAGACGGTCCCCAACAGCACTGGGAGAGGGAAAAGACAGAATTGGTCATTCTGCTTTAGCTTTGACCTTATCCCCAAATCCAACTGATCCAGAACAACAGAGATGAGTGATGGACTTGCTTGTTGTTCCCTCCTCTGACCTCTGTCTCCCTTGTGAGACTGCGAGTTCCTTGAAGTCACTTGTTACAATCTTGTATTTGTCTAGCTGACCTAAGGTCTAACACAATAGCACACAATTGTTTAATGTCACTGAGTAGGTTCTGACTCATAAAGAACTCTGCATAGGGTTTCTGAGGAATAGATGGTGGGTTTGAAACATTGACTTGGTGGTTAGCAGTCCAGTGCTTATCCTAGAGTGTCATATCAGGACTATATAGTATTAAATAGATGCTCAAAATATTAAGCTATTATTATCATCGGTGGTGGTGGTCACAATGGTGCTAAAGGTTTTTACCAAAAATGTTCACTCGGAGGCCCCTTGTAGATGCAGTATGACCTTAAGAAGCCTCACTTCCCTTATGTGGAAAACAGAAACAATAATAGTTCATGAGTTCGGGGTGGGTGAGGAGTAATGAGACAAAATTTATCACCTGCTCAGTCCAGAGGTTCTCCCATAGCAATCACTCACACAGGTGGTCATTGTTGTTCAGTGCCATCACGTTGGTCCCGACTTATAGCAGCCCTCTTTAGGGTTTCCGAGGAGTGACTGGTGGGCTCGAACTGCTGACCCTGTGATTAGCAGTTCAGTGCTGATCCTACAGCGCCACACTCACAGAGGATAACTATTTTGAGTCCTGATGTATACTTGACGCTGCTTGACTTTCAAATTTCTTTCTTTTTTTTGAGAAACCAGAAAACTCAATTTCTTTTCAGAGAAAAAAAACAGCACTAGCGTTCCTTTGAATTCCCAGCTGATCTCTAGCCTCACAATAACACAGAGAAACTGTCTGCAGGTCAAATAGCATCTGAAGAAGCAGCAGAACCGCAGCCAAGATGCTGGGATTCTGAGAAATGCACCATGGGAAAAACCTTGGCGGGGGGGGGGGGGGGGGCGGGTAAGATTTACGTACTCCATGACCTCCACCCATTCAACCGCCCAAACCAAGGAAATAGATAATGCCACAGGGGCTAGAACTTCACCTCAACATGCTTGGACACAGTTCTATCAACTGTGAGAATGCCCTCAAAGTGTTCACCAACTAATAGAAGGTCAGTATCAGTACTTCACTTGTTGACAAAGAAATTCTGTGAAGGAGAAAATGTGTGCTGAGATTGAAAAAAATCCTCCTGAAAACTGATGGGGGATAAGAGGAGTGGCCCCATGGAGTGGGTGGGGCTGGACATCCATATACATGAGGATAATTTTCTTTTTCACTTAATAATCAACAACAACAACAAATTTTAAAAGAACTAGCTCAATTTGTGAATCACTATCCATGGTAAAGAAAAGAGACTCTGTTCAGCAGAAGCACAGTGGGGAGGCCCTGCCATCACAGAAGCTGGAGATACATCCAAATATAGAAAGGGTGATACATGCTCAGGTTCATCTACTTAAGAATGCATTTATTCAGGCTCCCTATGGTTAACAACCTGGGCAGAGTATTAGGTATGCATTCTCCCTCACTTATCTCAACTCACACCCTACCAATTGCTCCTTTTGTGGTTCACAAGCAGATTCTTCCCACAAGAGGTAAGAAACCCTGGCTCCTGCAAAGTCAGAAGAAGAAAAAAAAAAAAGAGTCCCTTTCTAGATGCAACAGGAAATCACTGCTATCTACAATTATACTCATGTGTAAGGGTCTAATAAATGGAGATTGTGCCCTGAGTTGTCAGTGTGGCAGATGTGTACAAGGTGCTCAGACAGGGCCTGCTATTTCTTCCAACATGGAGTTAAATGCAATTCCCCCCTGTCATCCCTGTAAACTGAGCGTCTGAGCTACCGATGAATTGGGACTAATTTTGATTATGGTTGTTGTTAGGTGCCATCGTACTCAGTGATAAATAACTGAAATGAGTTCTAACTGCTCAGAGATCCCATCTTCTGTCTTCACCAATGCTTTTGATCTGATTGTCTCCAACATAGGCCACATTCAACTTTATATGCAAATCTTAAATGGTATTCAGGAGGGGAAGGGCGAGGGAGGGGGAAAGGCAGCCAGTAGATCGTTCACTTGGGGAACTGAATATAAGATCATATTCAAAATGCAGCATTTTCGGTCCAATGCTGAATACGTAAAATCTATGACCATTACAAATCCACCTTTCATTGCCGACTGTGCTCTTGTAGTGGTATGTCTTATTGGATGATGAGGATGGTTATCCTGATGAAGGCATTTGTCCTGGTGTGGAGCTGTGGGGTAATGTGCCAGACTACATAGCCATTTGAACCACAAGGTCAAGCTCACCAGCTCCTCTTTGGAAACCCTATACGGGGTTGCTATGGTTCAGAACTAACTGAAAGGCACTTAACAACAACAACAAAAATGCATACTGGGTGCTCTTTCTACCTGGAACCCTGGGAGACAGAGCTTATGGATAACCTGAATCATTCACCACAGGGCTGCAACCACTTTGAAGGGGAAGTGCCAACTTGGAGGTATGCTATCTGTATTGGAGCCCAATGCCTCAGAATGTCATGCTCCATTGAATCCACAGGGAGAGGTCAGCCAATGCTGTCATCTGGAATAAGCCCAAAGAGGTAAATACAACAGCACAAATATTCAGCTAGTACCCAGTTTGGCAATACCACACACGTGAGTTTCATGGTAGTTGCTGGAAACAGAATACACATGGCGTGCAAATCAGTGATACAGTTAAACTTGCAAGATGGTTTAAACCAGGAAATTCAGGGAATGATGTTAGCCAGGTTCTTTGGACTTCAGTACTAGACTTCAGTGCACGGCTCAAAGACAGATGATCATGGGTTTTTGCCAAGCAGACCATAGTTAATCAATACTGCTGCTGCTCCTTTCTCTATTTGTTGAAGCTCTCAGTCCAAGTTTTCATTGCCACAAGACCTTGACCTTCACAGTCAGCCCTACGCTATCTTTGTAAACTCATCTCCCTCCTCCTTCTTGAATCCCACATGCACCTAATATGACTGACACATGCTTTACTCCTTCCCAGTCACCAAGCCCAGCATGAGGCACACAGAAGGTAGCTGGCAAATCTTTGTTGAATGAATGTGAATGAATGACACAATGGGGACAGTGCATGACTTTACGACAGCTCTGTCAGAAGCTCAGGAGCACTTTTCACTTACTTCCCACTCTTAGATGTGTTCCGGGCCTTTGTGGATGATGGAGAGTTGACGGCTGGATTAGTGTTTGCGGCACCCCGTCTATCCTTACTATACCCACAGAAAGAAGAGAAACAGAGACAGCAACAACCACAGAGACAAAAAACAATTAGTCACATCAGTAAAAGAATTCTAGTGTCTCCTTCTCTCTCTCTTTCAGGTCAAAATGAAGCATGATTCTCACCAGGGTGCCTATGAAAGGTGAAGAAAGTTATCTTTCTGGCATTCACAGCTTGAAATGGTGGATTTCATTCATGGTGGTGCTTCAGTATCTTTACGGGATGTTCTACTGTAAAGATATCCCATCAAAATAACTAATCTTTAACACGAAATCGTTTCTTTCTAGCCATAAGTTCAGTTCTGAAGCTGCAGATAATATTAAATGAATCAATAATTTTCACTCATAATGGTAACATGGGAAGACCATGCATTCAGATATTCTTTAGGGAGAAGCACCACCTGCTTCATGAGTAATTGAATTTGAATCTCCACAGCTTACGGCAAACCTTGGAAACAATTACGAAATAAATCACAAGGAAGGTCTGCTTAATCGTATCAGGTTAATAAACTCGGACAAATTAATCACCTGAAAGTAAACAGAAAAAGAGGAATAATTGATTGGAGTCCTCTTGATTACTTTATTCTACTTCTTTTATCAAAGTATTTTACCATTATCTTCAATTCAGCTGCTCTGCCTTCAAATTATTACTTTACTTCATCTTCAAATTTCCATGGAAACCATCTCAAAGCCTTTCTCTCCACTTGATGATGTGTGGAATTATTTACCCTGATTTCATCAGAGAGGCATTTGTTTTGTTTTGTTTTGTTTTGTAAGATCAACATCAGCATTACCTTCTATAAAGATCCTGGCTTCCACTGTCTCTAACAGAGCCCCTCTGACGATGCAGAATATTGTCTCAGAGAGTATCCAAGAGCTCTGCCAGGTATTTCTGCATCTGTTTTGTTTGTTTGTTTGTTTGTTTGTTTTGTTTTAAGTACCTCAGAAATAGCTGTCCGCAAGTGAGGGCATGTAGGGAGGTCGCAAAAAAGATTATTTTCTGGACCCACCAGTTTCAAATGGCTGGAATAGGATTGGAACAAGAGCTAATCATGAGTTCTTGTTGATTGCAGAGGTAATAAAGATGTGTGGGCACAGATCTGTCAGGTAGCAAAATCACCATGAAGTTCAGGAGATCCACTGGGAAGTGGGAAGCACCAAGATGAGCTCGGATCCTGAAGAAGACACTTTATCCTGGAGGTGTCAGAAGTCACTTGGGACAAAGTGCTAGGATGATTTTCCTGCGCTACTCACAGACCCACCAAAAGGTGGTCACCTAGTGAATGGTGATTGAACTCATCCATGCTTTCTCAGTCCTTCCGTTAGGAACTCCTGGCCAAGGACTCCTTAGACACACCTGAGATCACCCAGAACTCAGCTCAGAAGCTAAGTGACAAACCAGAGTAAGAAAAACATCCAGGAGGCCAGGACAATACTATCCGTGTCTAAGCAGAGCCCAGGGAGTACCTGGAATTGGGGGGTGGGGGTGGCGGCAGTTTGCGTGTGCAAGTGTTTAACATGCTCAGCTGCTAACTGGAAGGTTGTTAAGTTTGAGTCCACCCAGACGCGCTGAGTGGCTAACTTTCAGCATCCATGAGCTTTGGAGTCAAAGAATATTCATTTTCACTTCCAAATCCCCTTCTCTGTGTCTTGGGCTCCAGAGCCCTTTGTGACCTGCTTTACATGGGACTGTGTTTAAGCATAATGTAGGGCACCACAGGACACTGGGAAAGCTGGCAGCTGGTAGCAGCAGCCTTCAGATTATTAACTGTTACCCTGTGGGGGTGGGGGACATTCTTGGAGTAGTGGATGTTTAAAAAATAGGAAATAAGGGCCCCTGGGATTGAAGGCCACATCCCTTCAGTGCACATCTGAGGAGAATAAAAACAAAGAATTCTCAGAGGACAAGATAATATGCACAACCTGTGGCACCCGGATGGGGGGAAAAATAATCAAATAACTCAAAAATGTTTGTTCTGTGCAAATAACAGATTGGTTCACAGTAACAAAATGCATCTGAAATCAGGGAAGGGGAGCCAAGCATGTACCAGGCTTGGATCCTATTGTTGTTTTTTAAGTGGCACTGAGTCCATTTTTGACTTATAATGACTCCACGTGACAGAGTAGAACTGTTCCATAGGATTTTTTTTGGCTGTGATTTTTATGGGAGCAGAGTTTTCTCCCACAGAACTGAGCATGTCACCAGTGCGCTACCAGGGCCATTTGCTTGGATCCTAGAACTTTACATTTGTAGCTATACTAAGGACTATTGTACAGAAGAAAATCTGGTGTGGCACAAACACTTTATGAATACCCTGGTGTGGATAAGTCCTGCTAACGGCAAAATTGGCATTTCAAATCCACCATCCGCTCCTGGGAAACCCTATACAGGGTAGATATGAGTCAGAACTGACTTGAAAGAAGTTAACAACAATAACCAATCTATAAAGGAGCCCTGGTGGGTGATGCCATAGCTAAAGCTATTGGCTGCTAACAAAAGGTTAGTGTTTCTTACAACAACTGCTCTATGGGAGAAGGATGTGGCAGTCTGTGTGTGCACAGATTTACAGTCATGGAAATCTTATGAGGCCATTCCACTCTGTCCTAGAGGTTCACTAGGAGTTGGAATCGACTCAATAGGACTTGGTTTTGACCAACCTAAAGATGTTTGTAAGGAGCTAATCTAAGGTCAGCAGTTCGAAACTACCAGCAGTTCTGCAGGAGAACGATAAGCCTTTCTACTCCTGTAAAGATTTACAGTCTCAGAAACCCTATGCAGGGTTGCTATGAGTCGGAACCAACTCCATGGCACCCCACCCTCACCGAAGGTGTTTGCAGTTCAAATTCACCCAGGAGCACATGGAAAAAAACACGGCCATCTGCTTCTGTCAAGATTTCAGCCAAGAATGCAGTGCTACAGTGTAACACACAGGGTCGCCATCAGTCAGAAACGACATGAGAGCAACAAATGGGTTTGGGTATAGAGAAAAGTTTGCCGAACCTTCCCACTGAGGGCCAGATTCACTGTTCTTCTTCCTCAAAAATCCAGGTTGGCTAGTCTGGACAAGAGATTATGATTCTGAAACCTGAGCTGGAGGAAATATGAAGCCGTGCTAGAAAAGAGACTGAGTTTTCCACAATTGCCCTCATGACATAGAAAAAGCCAATGCTGCAGCCGCAGATGTCTGGGAGCCTTGGACACAGATCAGGAGCCCAGAGATTAAGCTGCTGCCAAGGACCCTCGCCACTGATACACCCGAAAATCCCTGAGACATGCAGAAATAAACCCTGTTACTGGTGTCAAATGCCCTCCTGGCAGCTCTGATACATAGTGACCCTGTATAGGGTTTCCAGGAGTGACTGATGAGTTTGAACTACTAACCTTGCAGTTAGCAGTCAAGTGCTTACAGTGCCACACCAGGACTCCTTGCATGTAAAATATATTGATGATAATTTGGAGAATATGAGGTTGAGAGTGGGGAGGTTGCCTTGAACTAGAGCTAGAGGGCGTGGAACGAGGGCTATCATTGCTGACGTCAGGTAGATTGTGGCTGAAAGCAGAGAATACAGAAAGATGTTGACCTGTGCTTCATTGACTATGCAAAGGCTTTTGATGGTGCGGATCATGACAAGCTATAGACAGCACTTAAAGAGAATGAGCATTCCAGAACACTTAATTTTGCTCATGAGGAACCTGTACATAGACCAAGAGGCAGCCACTCGAACAGAACAAGGGAACATTGAATGGTTTAAAATTGGGAAAGCTGTGCAACAGAGTTGCATTCTTTTACTATACTTATTCAATCTGTATTCTGAGCAAATAGTCCAAGAATCTGGATTATATGAAGAAAAATGTGGCATCAGAATTGGAGGAAGACTCATTAACAACATGACATACGCAGATGATACAACCTTGCTTGCTGAAAGTGAAGAGGGACTTAAAATACTTACTGATAAAGATCAAAGACCACAGCCTTCGGTATGGATTGTATCTCAACGTAAAAAAAAAAAAATCCTCATCACTGGACAAAAGATGAAGTCAAAGACTTCATTTTGCTTGACTGCACAATTAACATTCATGCATGCAGAAATCAAGAAATTGAACAGCGCATTATATTAGACAAATCTGCTGCACAAGATCTCTTTAAAGTGTTGAAGAGCAAAGATGTCAGCTTGAGAACTAAGGTGCACCTGACCCGAGCCATGGTATTTTCAATAACCTCATATGGATGCGAAAGCTGGACAGTGAATAAGGAAGACCGTAGAAGAATTGATGCCTTTGAGTTATGGTGTTGGAGGAGAATTCAAAGTGCCATGGGCTGCCCAAAGAACCAACAGATCTATGTTGGAAGAAGTTCAGCCAGAATGCTCCTTGGAGGCCAGGATGGCCAAACTTCGTCTCTCATACTTCAGACATATTGTCAGGAGGCACCAGTCACTGGAGAAGGATATCATGTTTGGTAAGGTGGAGGGTCAGAGAAAAAGAAGAAGACCCCCAGTGAGATGGATTGGCAGAATGGCAGCATCAATGGGCTCAAGCGTGGCAACAATTGTGAGGATGGCCCAGGACCCACCCCACAAAAATAAATAAATAAATACTAGTAGCACTGTTCCTTAAGGTTTCTGTGACTAAATCTTTACCGGAGCACACTGCGTCATCTTTCTCTGAACAACTGGCCTGGTGAACAGCAACCCAACAAGGCTTAAGTACATACAAAGCTGTCATTACCTTGATCTGTCTCTAGAACAAGGCTCTTGGGTCGTACTAATGGTTTGTGTTCAACTACTAAAGGTTGGTGGTTGAAATCTACCATGGAAGATCTGCTTTCATAAAGATGACAGCCAAGAAGACCCTATTGTTTTCTTGTGACACATGGTTTTCATAGTGACACATGGTGTCACTATGAGTCAGAAATCTCTCGATGGCAACGACTTTGGTTGTTTTGGTTTGGGCTCTAGAATACTTGGAGGTTCTTTTCATTTCCATTTCCTC